CCATTTACTATGTAAGTGCTTTATATATACTAATTTATTTAGTCCTCACAACAACCTGTGGGTTAGTTGCTATTGTGACCGTTTAGAGAGGAGGGAGCCAATGAGAAAGAGGTTAAATAACTTGCCCAGTGTCACACATCTATAACATGGCAGAAGCAAGCAATTGACTCATAATCTACACTCTTGCCCACTTCACAGTTGTTCATACCCTGTGGCAAAGCAAGAATGGAGTCTCAAAGTTACACAATTAACATATCTGCTAAGTTAGAAGCAATTTTAAATTTTTACTGGATATTAAATCAAAAGTTTATTTTCAAAAGTCAGTCAACATTATGTCCTGAAATTCTCAAAAAAATACTGATAATCTTTTTGCTCCAAAAATGAGGCTCTTTAAAGTTGTGTGATTTAATTGTGTACATTAATGTGTACATGCCCACCTGACCCTGTGACTCATCACAAGAGGAGATAGATTTAAATGTGTAGATATTAGACTCCCACAGCAAGGAATCAAATCCCACTTCTTATTAGATAGATAACTTGGAACAGGTAACTAAATCTCTTTTAGTTTTGGCTTTTCTGTATTTTAAATGGAATGAAAACAGTATGTATTATATAGGATTATGTTAACCAACTAATGTAGAAGCACTTTGGTTAGTGTGTGCTGTATGTCAAGTTCTGGATCACTGTTAACTGGTGTTAATGTTTCTATTAGGTTCCCTTCCTGTGCTAGCCTGGCAGTATCATGGGAGTCACTACCTGAAAAAGTTGGTGTTTCTTTTCCAACCCATTGAAGAAGTCCTCTATCATAATTAATGGTCCCTCTCTATTCATCCTCATACTTACAGGGACATCATGCAGTTATTTTTGCCACTACTACTTTTAATAATTCTGCCTTCGGAGTTAGATTACACTCCAATTTGAAGAATGATTTTATTCTGAAGGAATCTAGGAAAAAAACGTGACTGTAATGAGATCTTCCATAAGAAAATCATCTCTTAATGATCTGTTGTGGAGAAACTTTTTATGAGCAATCCAAAGATGATTTAACACTCTAATTCAAGGCGTGAAAGGAGGGCTAAGGTGGCAGGCCTAATTAATGCTTTGAAATATGAATCTGAACAGTTTCATAGTTTCACAGCGACCTGACAAATACATATTTGGTAGTTTGGAAATGAGACATACTTCTGTTTTTATTGCTGCTAATGATAGATAAGTGGGGAAAACTATAAAATAGATTGTCACCTGTTTTCTTGTTTTGGGTTCTCATTGTTTTGAAGAAAATGCTTTTTTCCTGGAAAAAAAATATTAAAGATAGTTTAATCACTTGCTGCAGTTTTACATGTGAAATATCAAAGAAGTTTTAGAATTTCTTAAATTTTGTTTGTATTGCCCAGTGAATCATTTGAGTATCTTAGTCTGCTTGGGCTACTCTAATGAGATACAGAAAATGGGTGGATTATAAATAACAGAAATTTCTTACAGTGCTAGGACTGGCAAGCCCAAGATAAAGTGCCAGCGACTTTGAGGTCTGACAAGGACCCACTTCCTGATTGTTCATAGCTCCCATGGCTTCATGCTGTTGAAGAAACAAATGGATATCTCTGAGTTGTGTTTTATAAAAAGGCACCAAAGCACTGTGAGCCCAAAGTCCTCACTTCTCAATATCATCATTTTGGGGGATAAGATTTCAAACTATGAATTTAGAGGGATATAAATATTCAGAACATTTTAGAGTCTTAAATTCCTTGGTGAATGTGGGTTAATTTGCTACTGGTAAAGTACATATTGCTATTCCTGCCCATGTTTATGAAATGTAAAAATTATCTTTCCATTAGAATACTATTTAGTTCCAGCAATAATTATTCACCTAAATTTCAAAAGCCAAAGAAAAGAATCAATTTTTATTTACTGTTCTTTTTCATTGTTCACTCAATTCTGAGGGATGATCACTCTATTTTATAAAGATATCTTGAAATTATTCTCTCTATGCTATTCCCTCTGGCCTAGTTTAGAAGAATAAGATATTCGTGTCTGGGGTAGTTGGAGGAGTATCATAAGTGGTAAAAATCACAATTCTTGGGAAGTAATAGTGTGAGTTGTGGGATCCTAAAAAAAAAAAGAGATCGGATGTCCTCAATGGAGTATAGGTGGTATTCAGTTAAAGAGAATGATTGACCGCACCCAGTGTGGAAAATGAAGAAAAAAATTCGGAAAAACAGATATAACTCATGCACTGCAAATTTACCACTTTTATTTTACAGCCTTATCATCTTTCTGCTTTAGCTTTTCCACTTTCAGTTGTATCCTTGTCTATTTGTTCCAGGACGATGTTTCTAAGAGCACAGTGAAAATTGGGTGACTCCCCTTTTAAAACAACTTGCTCATCACCAGATTGGACACTGCACGAGAAAATCCATTCTCTGCCTTTATCTAACCTGGCCTCTTCTTACTTTTCCACTACTTACCACTGCCGAACCCTCATATACAATGCTCATAATTACAACATTTGCATAATTTTTCCAAGCACACTAGTTACTGATGTCCCTGGTGGTTGTTTTCTCTGCCTTCAGTTTTACTCTGTACACCTCACTTAATCTTGGATATCTCTCTGGAATCTCTGTTTCTAGGCATACTTGCTAGGCTATACTCCAAGAGTCTCAGAATACAGCTCTTAAATGCTGTACCTGCATTATACCAATCCATTTGAGTTTTTATTCTGTATTGACCCACTTTATTAATTAGCTTGTATCCCTCTTAAAAGCACAGGCCTCTTTTTTTTTTGTCTCCTCGGTGTCTAGTATACAGACCACAGTAAGAGTTATGCACATGTGTTGATTGGAGTATTAACTGTTGCCAACATGTTTTCTATATTCTGATATTCAGGTGGTAAGAAAGAGAATGATGAATGTTTGTGTGGACATTTCTTAAAGGAACAAAATTATTGGGGGTGGCATGAAAATACTTTATCTCCAAAGCAATAGATTTATTTATCTTTAATCCTCTAAGTCACATATGGACTATATCTTTTTAGATTCACCTTATTTTAGGAATTTCCAATTTGGTGTAATAAAACATAAAGCACTATTTAGGAAAGAGGTCAGAAATCACATAAGTACCATTTGTCAGTTGATTTCAGAAAGCACCAATACGTGCAGTGTCACCTCCCTATTGACTGATTGGACCATATACGGTGCTATCTCCACCGGTTGTGTTTAATGGGCATTTATATGGAGTTTGGCTCATGATGCTGTTTGAAGCAATCTTCTCTTTACACTATACTTGGTATATGGTTCATAATTTTCTGACCTATGTGATTTATGTGTCTGTTTTCCACAGCTTTTGTTTTGATATCAGGAACCATTAATCCTTCAGAATCCTACAGTTGTAATGTTAACTGCCAACAGCATTGATTTGCAATTGGCATGAGTGTATGCTTCAACAATTTTATAATACTCCAAATCTGGTTTTGATGACAACTTTTTTTTTAGCACTGGCATTGTTGAATGTAGAAATTTTCCTAACTTATTGATAAAAGTGTGTTCATTTTAATGAAGGCTTCTAAGTTTATTGGCTTGATTTTATACAAACTTTCTAGTTAAGGATAGTGTTTAGCAACTCTCTGTCCACTGCTGAAGTATAATTAGCAAGATAAATATTACTTCTATGGTTTTTAATTTTATAAATATATATACATATTAACATACATGTTATATGTGTGTATAAGACACACTTATATGAAGTGTGATCAAAATATATGGTGAATATTTATTAAAAATTTAACTACAGTAAAAGCCATTAATTGCCCACAAAATACTCCCTCTTACTTCCAACATGCTTATCTCATCTTTCTTGGCACTTTCTGAAACAGTTCTTGAAGTCCTCTGTGATGAGTGTCTTTTTTGAGATGAGTGCTATGCCAAGTGGCATCGAATGAACAGGCAGGTTCATAACAACATCATACATGTCTCCATTTACCTTATCACCTCACCTGGCACTGTGTGACTCCTGGGTCTTCCCCAAAGTCAAAATGACCATCACAAATAAACATTGTTAATCAATTCAGATCATAAGGACAGCTATGGAAGGCAGCTACAGACACTCATGAAAGACTTCCAGACCACTTTAGAAAATGGCAAGAAGTAATGGAATAAGTGTGTTTAAGGTGAGGGAGATTATTTTGAGGAGGAATTAATGACAATGTGCCTTCTACTGTAATAAATTATTTTAAAAGTTTTTGCTGTATTTTTATCATACCTCATGTATGTATTGTGGGGGGAAACTGGCTATGTCTCTTAGCAATCAGCAATAAATTTTATTTTTAATTTTCCTCTATAGTTTATGAAGATAACACTAAAGGCTACTTTGTGGGTCATTATAAATTATATAATTTCACTTGTGTGTTCTTATAGTGACAACTAATATAACAGAAGCCTTTGTAGATGTTATAAACTTTTACAATCCTTAGGGTATATTTCACTCTGTGTGCAATTAAAAAGGATAATGTAATTCTTCAGTAGAATCTATGCTAGTGATTTGGGCACTATTAAACCTCGAATGAAATATTTATGAAAAATTATAGATAGGTGTATTTATTTGGAGTAGATGTGTAGGAGGAAGATGATGTCAAGCAGAAGTTATTTAAAAGAAAATGATAAGGAATATGCGGCTCAGTCCTAACATATGTTAGTTTATCCACTAGGACACAAGCATACCTCACTAATGAAACTGTTTCCAAGAGAGTGTGAGCTCTTTGAGGAAAGTGATCTTACATTTATCTTATGTGCAGGTAATTATTCTTCTTTAGAGGACTTTAGGATGAAAAGGCCAAATGCCGTCTGTGGTTTACCGGTGCTCCACTACAACCAGGTTTTCTCTAAATTGAAAATATTCCAAGATTCTGGCTGCATGTAAAAAGAAATGAAGAAAATGCTAAGAATTTATGGAATATGAAAAACTTGGGAATTAACTGACTCATTTTTGTGGAACTTGATGTATTTTAGGGAATGATGTACCTCGAAGAAAGACGACTTGTCCATCGGGATTTGGCAGCCCGTAATGTCTTAGTGAAATCTCCAAATCATGTGAAGATCACAGATTTTGGACTAGCCAGACTCTTGGAAGGAGATGAAAAAGAGTATAATGCTGATGGAGGAAAGGTAGATATCCTTTTGGAGGGATATTTCTTGAAAATACAGTGTGATATCTGTATATCCTTTTGTCTTCCTATACTTTTTTAGGAAGAAATCAGTGAGCTTGAAATTTCGATTACAATACTCCAGTTCTACTATTCATATATTTTTTTGTCTAGGGTCAAAAAATAAAACATACTTCCAGCTTTTGTTTCTCAAAGGTAGGTAAAAGACAGTGATGTACCCTGCACCTAAGTGGTCTTCATATTAGTTGCAAAAGTCGGAAGTGAGAAAATCCTGAGGAATACCTAAGCTGAAGTGTAAATACGGAGCCATAGAAAGTGTCCTATAGGTCCTAAGAGCATAGGATTTACTCTTAACTCAGATGCATAAATTCTCATAGACTAAGAGTTTGACTACTACCAAGAACTCATTTGAAAGATAACTATTCTATTTAACTTCTACACAAGGTATTTTCCTACTCTAAGTATTCTGAATTCCAATTATCTGGGGTATGATTTCTGAGAATTTTTTTAGCTTTCATCATAGTGTATAATTTACCTTCATTGTTCATTTTCTAACTCTTTACTGGAAAACAAGCTAATGTATCAGAGAGGGTTGAGCTTTCTGCTTTAGCTAGTTCCTTGCCAACCTTTGCTTATTCTCCAGTTTCAGCCTCTTTCTTCCACCACATGGTCTCAAGTCATACCTTTTACTTTCTCATTAACCCACTGTTTAGCTGTAATTCTTGACTAACCAATTAGATTAGTCTTCATGTATGGATCTATTTAGTTTGACCTAAGGAAACTTATGTCAAGGTAGTCCAAGTGAAATAAACAAATGCAACCTTAACCAATGTGATTGAAGGAGTTATTTTAACAGCAGAGAAAAGATTAAACCAGGTGTGGTAGGGCAGGCCTACAAGTACTCTGGGAGACTGAGGCAGGAGGATCACAAGTGAGACCCTGTCTCTAAATAAAAGAAACATTAAAAAAAGCTTGGGATTGTAGATCAGTGTGAAGGCTCTGAGTTCTGTCCCCACTAGTGAAAAAAAGAAAAGAAAAATGATTCACATATCATAAAATGTTTATGTGCCTTATTCATTATGAGGCATCCAAATATATATTGTAAATATTCTGCAGTGATGGGATTTCACATGCTTAGCACTGATTTTTACTCTCAGTGCTTACGTAACTGTATATACTCAAGTTTTACATCAAGGCAAGATTAACAAAAGCCTTAAAAAAAAACAAAAAGAAAGAAAAACGTTCAGTTTTAAGGAATCATCTGGGACTTCCTTGATTTTATTAGACTCTTTTGTTTGTTTACTACCAAATTGCAGTAGAGACCATCACTTTGAAATTCACTACAAGATTGCACAGAAGTAGAAGTTATAAATCACATAACTTCACTTGTCTTAAGAACACACAGCTGTAAGATTTGTCTAAAGCAAGATTCATTATAGCTTTAAATGCCTGGTAACCATTAAGTCTTTATCAAGCGACCTGTGATTTAAACTTAAGTCTTTAACACAATGTCTGTAGTCCATAAAGTCTGGTAACTCCTTGCCCATAGGGAAATTACTTTCACTGTGTCTTCTGTTCTCTTTTACTGAATCCCATGATTCTGTCATAGAGTTACCTTGATGTCACCTTGTGAGCAGCCAACCTCATGACTTCAAATGCCTATTTTGTTTCAAGCTTTCAACTGCAAAGTAGAAGTGTTTATCTTTATTCTATAGAATCTAATTATATTTCCAGCTATATAGTGCTGCCCTTCGAGTTGAAATGCATTCTGCTGACCCATCAGCAGCAGGCTATGTGGGTTGAGTTGTTTTTCTTATAGTGATGATGGATTTTTGCTGATCCTGTCACATTCGTTATAGACTAGTTCCTATTTTGGAAGTGGTGCATATTTTCAATGCTGGCTAACCAAGACAAGAGAGGTCATCTGTGGCTGGAAAACAAAGCAAAGCTAACTTTGGAATTCATGATTTTAGGCAATTTAGTGGTCAGAATATAGGAGCAAAGATGAGGGAGCAAATGTAGAAATAATTCATTGTAGTCATGGTCTAAAATGTCTCTGAAGGTGAAAAGGGATAACTAAAAATGTAAGAAATCTCAGTTTTTAAAGACAAAATATAATATGGATACATTTTTGAAACATATGCATTGATGTTTAGTTTTGATATTATAGGTCATACTATTGCATACAACTTAAAAACTAGATATTAATTAAGGATACAGAAACTTGTTTTTATTTTATTATTTTACTTTTTAGTGTTTATGAAGCTTTTTTAAAAATGTATTTTTGGTTTAATTGATTTTATGAATTTATAAACTTCAATTTATTTATTATCCACATTGGAAAATAATCTACTTACATTTATATCTTTACATACAAAATAAAAAATATAATTGAGGATGATCAGAGATTAGCATCTAAGTAATATAAAAATGATTTTTATGTAACTATAAAACTTTCACTTATTTTTCTATAGATGCCAATTAAGTGGATGGCTCTGGAGTGTATACATTATAGGAAATTCACTCATCAGAGTGACGTCTGGAGCTACGGTAAATTAATTTTCCTTATCAAGTAAGGCTTTTAAGGCAAAAAATAGATAATTTTTGGTTTATTTAAACTATTTCAAGCCATATGTACTGTATTGTGTTGGAAATACCTATTTGTATGCTTTGCGTCCTAAAGGAATTAACTCTGCTCTCTTAAAAAATACTTAAAAAGGGCCAGAGATTTAGCTCAGTGGTTCTGGTGCCAGCCTCAAAAGCACAAGGTCCTGAGTTTGATCCCCACTACCAAACAAAACAAAACAAAACAAAAGCAATTTTTTCTGCCTTTTTGTTGTTTTCCGATTCTCTAAAATGTAAAATGCCAGTATCCCTTCTGAGTGGTCTACCATAAACTCTGGTTTGTTAGGAATTTACCTGATAGTTTTTATAGAAAAAACCACCAATTTTAATTTAGGGACAACTTCATATAATCTTGTGGCCTTAATTTTCAACAACTCTGAAAACACAACTCTAAATGCAATGAATCGTAAAACACAAAAGGAATTTCTGTTTTAAGGTAGTAAGTATACAGGTTATTTTCATAATAATGAGCAATTACTGCAAACAGTGAAAGAAAAGAAAATGAAGGAAAAGGTGAGAAAGAAGACTACTAATTGCAGCTTTAGTTTTAATTTACAAATGACTTTTGAAGTGACAGAAATGTTACAGTCAATAGTGCCAAATTCAAGGATGAATATTTACAATTATAACATTTATTTCGTTATGTTTAATTTAATCATTTAGCAACTGACCACTTACAGTTTTGTTAACAACTTGGCAAGAAAGAGTCAATGCCTTTTCCAAGTCTAAAAATACCATATAATACTCACATGTATTACAAATAAAAGCACAGTACTCATTTAAATAAAATTGGTAATGTTGAGATTTTAAAGTACAGTACAATTTATTTTTCTCAAATTCAAGCTTAGTTTTATCATTTTTAGAACAAAGATTTAACAAATTAATCACTAAATAACATACATTTTTAATTTAGGAAAGCGATTCATTATCTTTAAATTCATTACCTTTCAGTAAAGTATGTTGCCCTCCTTAAACCTTTTATTTAGGAAAATATCATTTTCTTTAAAAACTTATTTAAGACATTTTAATAAAGTGCCTTCCCCCCATTTGTATGCTACAGGAGGTATTAATATTTCCAAGAAGACCACACATATTCTACTCACCTTAGAAGTAGAAAATGTGTGCTTGAGGTTTAAAAAAATTAAAAGAAATGCTTGACAAAACTTCACTGTTAAATTACTATGAAGAATAAGGAGGAAAGGAAATCTATGATCTATGTTATATGATCAATTTATACATTATATTATGTATTATATGGATTACTACATACATTAGCATTTATGTATTACATGGTATTTCTAGAACAGTATAAATATAAGATATTGGGCTAGGGATTTAGCTCAGTGGTTCTGCTTTCTGCCTTGCAAGCACAAGGTCCCGAGTTCAATCCCCAGTACCAAAAAAAAAAAGATATAGATAGATGCATAATTATATTTTATGACAGATTTATGTACTATCATATTATATGTATGTATATATATTTTCTTTTCTTTTTGTACTTATGCATTCCTGAATTAGATGTGGCAATTTGCAGCAATTAATTTTAAATGACTTAAAAAACAAATGTTGGCTGAACAGTTATATTTTTAATAGTAAATTTTATCTTTTGGAGAAAATCATGTTAATTAGGCTACAATAATTTTTTTCATGATGAATTTCAAAATTCCAGAAGCTGTTCAGTAACAATTTAAAAAATGGATAGATCATACTTTGTTTTGAAACACTGGTCAACAACATATATTCATAAAAATATTCAGAGCTTGCTATGATATAGTTGATTGCAAAAGACATAAAAAACAGAAAAAACTACATAATTTGGTTTAGAGTACACATTTTGAAAATTATCACTTGTTTTATCTTCATATTTATATTTATATAAATATCCAACTCCTATGATGTTTAGCTGATATATCTGCAGATAATGAAATTCCAGTGTAAGTCTGCAATGTAAGATGTTTCTGATATAGTTTTTCTGAAATTGTCTTTTTTGTTTATATGCTTCTGTTCATTATATTTTTTATTTTGATTTGTAATATTGGCATATTACTTATTTTGGAAGTCCTGATAAAGATGTGAGAGTATTCCATCTTTTGTAACTGCTTAATAAAACATTAATTAAATTAATTTAATAATAATTAACAGTCAATGAAATGTTCTAGTAAATATATATTCTATAAATATCACTGAATAAATAGAAATAGACAATCATACACCTCTCAACTTCTTCCAGTCTGTCTCAAAGACTGAATTGTAACCATTGATTTTATGAAGCAGCTCTTTAATATGCAAAATTAAGAATTTAATAAACATCAATCAGTAAAATTGTGTTACCAGTTACAGGTTTATATTGCACTTAAAAATCACAGGATGTAAATATTAACAAAATAATGAGATAATTGTTAATGATTCCATTATGAAGGATAATTTGAAGTTCACATATACTTTTAATTAAGATCTATGTTTTTATTATCAGATAATTATGACTGAGATAAACTTCAATCTAAATAAATAATTCATTACAGATGGCAGTTGAAAATGTAGCCCTAATTAATTGGTTTTATATTAAAATAGAACTGTATATATGCAGCCACCAAAACCCATTGTAAGATTATGGTGCCCACCTAGCTGTTTCCAATTTTAAAATCTTTATTCCTAAGAAAAATATAACTTTTTAAATTATGTGATTACTGTTTCAAAGAAGCAATCTCTAGTGTACGTATTAGTGCTTAAATCAGAATAATTATTTTCAAAACTGTCTATTTGCATACTAATATTAAGATAGTTTTTCCAGAGGAAATCAGTGTTCTAATAATTCAAGAAAGTCACATTTTATCTGAGGAATAATCTATCCTTAATTCCCTTTAATTGTTTTGGATGCCCACTTCATCTGCATTATATCTTACATAAGAATTAATCCTCACTCAAGCTCTTATATGTGCTAATAAATTAATATATTTGTTTCACTTGTTTTCTTTTTGCTAATTAAAGAGAACTGCAGTTCCCTCCTATAATGTATGACAATCATTCCAGAGCCCCAGGTTAGCATGTTAGTACTTTTACAGCAAAGAAGCTAATCTTAAAAACAATCAATACCATATTTTTCCTACAATCATATTTATTTGGTACTGAACACATATATAGATAGTAAATGACTTGTATTATGGGCTGTAATGTGGTATAGGGAAACATAAATTGGATTAGCAAACATTACAATTACTTATGAGTAGAAATGGAGAACAGAGTCTATATTCTGATAGCTACTCTAAATTCTCTGCATTGCATTAAAATTACAAGACAGAAGTAAGAGAATTGATATGTCCCACAAAAGTTTTATCATTGTGATTGGTATAATGTATACAGGAATCCTAAGAGTATCTTTAATCTTCTTTACACTATTAGGGAGCATTTTGTTTCTTTCTTTTTTTTTGTCAAAGCAATACATTTGTTGAAATTATGTTGTTAATATGCTTATGTAAAAATTTTGTCTCCAATTAGGAGTCACTATATGGGAACTGATGACCTTTGGGGGAAAACCCTATGATGGAATTCCAACCCGAGAAATCCCTGACTTATTAGAGAAAGGAGAACGTTTGCCTCAGCCTCCCATCTGCACTATTGATGTTTACATGGTCATGGTCAAATGTAAGATCACAAAATAATTTTATCATCTCCATAGTTCTTAATAAAATGATAGTATAGGTTACCTTATAATGTTTTTCCGTATTGATAAATGTAACAGATCAGAAATAATTATGAACTATGAAAACACTGTTTCTGTAATTATTAATATAATATAGATTCTATGCTATGAAATCAAAATTATATGACTTTAATATTCTTTTTCTTATAATTTTTATGATAGTCAAATTATTCTAAAGAGATACAGTCAAAATAATATTAGTGGTAAAATTAATTTATTAATGCTAACAATTTTTATGAAGAATATCAAATTAAATAAATGATCTAAATATGAAGAAAACATGAAGCTGATAGCTCAAAACAAGAAATTAAATGGAAACGGGTTTACCAGTTTTAATCAAGAGCAAATTAGCAGGACAAGATGGAAAGTAAGAAATGGAGAGAAATGACTCTACATTGAACTAAAATCTCATGAATTTTTCCTTTTTTTCAACACGACCATTTGTTTACATCAAAGTCCCTTACTTTTCTTGCTCCTTCCTATGCCCCAGACACATATGTATTATAGCTGTGTTTTGGAAGCCCATACTCCTAATTTAAATAGAATTAGGACAATCTCTGGAGTTTCTGTCTTAATTGAAGTGAGATTAACACACAGTGATCTCTCTTGTACAATCTGGGTATTCCCCCTTTTGGTTTACAGAGTTAGCAAAGAAACAAACTGGTGAAGGTGAATAAGCATCTTATTAATAAGAGACTTTGGACCCAGGTCTGCTCAGAATTATATTCATGACAAGTGTGATACATTCTGACCGTGAAGGAAGGAATAAAAAATGTTCTTTGCAGTTCAGGTCAGCGTGGCCTTTCCCTAAGCATAGTCCTATTTACTGAACATTTAGTTAGAGAGAATGCAATACCTTCTAAGAAGTTAACCTTTTTTTGGCTCCAGTAGGCCCAGAAACATCTATTTTCTCAGCATCTTGGCACTAATAAGCATTTTTAAATGAAAACATATAGAATGCAGAATGTCTGAGATTTGTTAGGAGAGAAATAAAATGACATTACTTATACATGACACCCAAAGAATTACCAAAACAAGAATAAAAATTAACTCTCAGAAAGGCAAAACAAACTTTACAGCTAAAACTAACTCTCAGAAAAGACAAAACAAGCTTTATAGCTTTATTCAATCAAACACTGTCTGGTGTATGTCTATGGAAACATGCATGCATTGTATAATCTGATCCCATAACCAGCATAGGAGTTGATTTGTATACTCTGGTGAAATGATGTAAAACTAGGCATACATTTTGTCTTATTAGGCAAACTCTATTGAAAGTTTTACCTTTTCAATCTGGAGTTTTAATATTTTAACCAGGGATCATCTGATTTAAAAGAAAATCAAAGAAAATGTGGAGCTTTTATTCATGTCATCTCTTCAGCTCACCAGAGCCTAGGGAGATAAGATGCTCTTTATCTAGACTCCCAGCTAAATAATAATAATATGTACTCTGAAAACTGCTGATAGCATTTTCATGCTGGATAAGCTAGTACTCAGATAAGCTAATGGCTATTGCTGAACAAACATTACCCATCATTCTGGTTCAATTTTTGACCCCCCACAACAGGAAAAGGAGTAATATGATAAAGTTGGTTTCAATTCATTTTTTAACCTATGTAAGTGTACCCTGTTACAACCAAATCTCTTCTCCTTCCATGGCATTCCAGATAACAAAATGTTGAATTCTATTGCAATCACCTTATTTATAACCATCAAATAATTTTTTTAAAAAAATTATCTCCACACAACGAAAAGCAACAAGAACGAGATCTCATGGTTACCCTGGGTTCTATTTTCTAGCCAGAAAAATAATTTTTAAACTAGGTCAACAAAACAAAAATTGTATTTGTTGTAGTATATTATGTTTGGTTATGAAGAGCCACAGACTGAGTGGGAGTCTTACCTGGGTGTTTCTTTCCCTAGCTTTCTTTGTTTTTCAGATCATTATCATAAAAAATATTTCATATTTTGCCCATATTTTTCACAAATTTAAATCTTGCTTCCTTTTAAAATTATAGATGTACTGACACCTTTTATTGTGTGAAAATTTCCAGGTTGGATGATTGATGCGGACAGTAGACCTAAATTCAAGGAACTGGCTGCTGAATTCTCAAGGATGGCTCGCGACCCTCAGAGATATCTAGTTATTCAGGTTAGTTCATTTGGCTTTGATTTTTAAACTATTCCCATGGCAAACTCACTATATCACATGGATGTCTAATTGTGACAACTGTGGAAATGAACCCTGACATACTGACTAACCAGATTATCATTAAAAAAAACTTATGCAGAAGAACCTTTCACTTCATCTCAGAACCACCTCTATCTTCCCTTAGAACTCACAGGACATTGCTAATGAGGAGCCAGATAATTATGATCACCACACACATGAAAAGGCCTTTATCCCCAGACAAACCTTGCCTTTTATTAGCATTATTGGTAATCATGTTCATCATTATAATCTTCACTTTCACAATCAAAGGAAGATGGATTTTTGTTTTAATCTTGTAAATAATGGAAGAAAAAGAATAAAAAATTTCAGTATACTTATATTTAATTTTAAAGAAAAATATTTTAAAACATGTTTTTTTGTTTGGGGAGATATCAGTATCCAGTCAATAACTGGATTTATATGGACTGATGTGCACAATGAATTAAACAATTGGTCAAAAGCACATTTCGCTTAACATTAGAAAAAATAAATTGGATAAGTGTAATTATTTCTGTATGATTATTTTCACTGAAACTACAAACAAATGGACCTTGGATAAACTAAATTATGTTTCCTCATGAAAACAAGGTGAGCTTTATCTTCATATCAGTAGTCTAACGTGAAGATAAAAGCCAGGTTTTAGAAGATAATGATTCCTAGCTGTTTTTCCCCAAAATTAATTTTCATGAGCTGAGATCCTTGACTAAAATAGTATGATTTTGAAAAGTAAAACAAAATTATTTAAACATTAAATCAAATGAAAGGAATGTAAAAAAGGTTTTAGTTTCTTTCCCCAAACTAGTCTCTTGGACAATTATGTTATGATTTTGAATGCCACCACTTTGATGATGTAGTCACTGTAATAGAAAAAAAAATTGGAGAGTCTGTGTTCAGATAACTCTACAGCATCAAACCAACCTCAATAAGATAAAAGATTGATATAGATTTTCCTTTATTATTTATTCGTAAAGTCACAACCCACATACTATCTTAACAATGAACCATTATTCTCAAATGTGAAATGGATTTTGCCTACTTTAAAATATCCATAGCAGCCTGTTTTATTACTTTCTAAGGGCATTTAACACACTTTCTCTTGCACTGTCTTTCCTTATCTTACCCTGTCATACCCAAACACATTTTAAGCTTCTTTATTGCTAGTAGCTGTGCCAAACAATTATTTTTTGAAATGAGAAATGAGTGCATGAATTTCGGTAGCCATTTGTTTTGCTATTACATAAATTTGCTGTGGAGACCACATATTTTCAAATGAAGGGAAAAAATCATTTTTTGTGTGTCTGATGGGCAATCTTTTAGGGTGACGATCGTATGAAGCTTCCCAGTCCAAATGACAGCAAGTTCTTTCAGAATCTCTTGGACGAAGAGGATTTGGAAGATATGATGGATGCTGAGGAATATCTGGTCCCCCAGGCTTTCAACATCCCTCCTCCCATCTACACTTCCAGGGCCAGAATTGACTCAAACAGGGTAAGAAGTGATTACATTACAAATAGGTACTCTATTATCTTTGAGAAATAAAGTAATGAAAACAAATTATAAGCACTAAAATTTCAAAATACCTTTGTAATTATGATCATTGTAAGTTCTAGATTTAAAACATACCATTCCCACAAAAGATATACAGCACTCCTCATATATATATAGTCATGTATACATTTATATATAATATATCTTTATATAGTATATATTATTTATATATTTTATTTTTATATGTTCATATATATTTTAAATATTTATATATATTTATATAGAGAGAGTTAATTTGGGAGACAAGTATGGACAATACCATGTGTATTCTGAAATATCTTCAAATTTTCAAAGAACCTTGTCTCCATCTTCGGTTAATTAAATGTTTTTAATTTCTTAAAACCAATTTAAATTGATAAAATTATATGCATATAAATAATGAAAATTCTGATAAAGCAGGCTTTCAATTGTTTTCTCTTGAAAAAATAATATATTAGTCAAGAAGTAATACTTGTAAACACACTTTCACTCATTTAAGAAACATTAAATATTTTGTCAAGTTGAAATACAAATACAAAAAAAAATGCAATCATTTGAGCTACATCAGTTGTGTTAAAAGAACAGTTGAATAAAATCCAAGACATATTTTTAAGTTTTGGAATAATTTTGAAAGGAATTTACATTTTATTTTAAATATTAAACACTGTATAAATAGCAGTCTTCTCTAACAGCCATCAAATCCATCTATTTATTTTTTTAAAATTCATTTATCATCCATTCAGCGTTCATTAAGTGTGTCTGAATGAGAAGCATTAACCTATATTTGAGATGCAACAAATTTTGACGTCATTCCTGTTTTAATGAAGTGTCCAGGGTGATGAAAGTGTCACACACAGGAAGAGACTACAGCCAGTGTGACAAGTGCTGTGTTCTGACTATCATGGCACATGAAAGGGCAGTGAATTCATTTCTGCAGTTTCTTCCACTGACCAGATGCCAAACATGATGCTAATTTCTGGGGGAGGAACCAATATTTCCTCTTAGTCTTCCCTACCATCTCTGTGGCTAGCGAACCAAGAGAGTTTCTTTTTTCTTGACCAAACGAAGGTGTTTGCTGATTCCAGATGGATAGTAATAATAAAGAAATACCTACTGTTTGCTATTCAACACCCATGTGTTAATGCTCTTAGTCCTTACAACAATCCTATGAGGTCCTGGTACTATTATCTCCTTTCTAAAAATGAAAAAACTTCCACAGAGAAGTTAGGTGATTTGACTAGTGTCAGAGTTAGCCAGAGGGAATGCAGACTTCTAACACAAGCTGTCTGTCTTTACCACTGTCTACTATGGCTTTACAGTTTTGGGAACATGTTGTTTTTGTGATATGATTGTTTTTCTCAGCATCAATGACTTCAGTGTCTAGAACACATATCCTGTCATAAATTTATCTCAATGTCGTACTTACAAAATGCATCCTCGAACCTGTTCACACCTTTTACCATTCTACTTTGATTTGAACGGGCTGATGTGGAAACAGGCAAAATGGGAACCTCAATTAATTTTTCTTTTCTATCAAAAACTATGTTATTGCAACCCTAACTTAAAATTTTATCATATGTCCAATGGGGATATGATATTTAAGTTTAAAAACCAAAATCCACTGGTAGATAATGAATACCAGACTGCCTGGGAAGTAAGTCTTTGAAATGTGCAGGAGGTGTGTAAAGGAGGCACAGTTTTCCTCCTCTGTGCATTTTGAAAAATGCCAAAATTATGTCTTAGTATTCACAATTTTAAATTAAAATCCAATTTTGATAAAAATTGTGACATTTCAAGATAATAAGATTTTATTTCTTATATCATAATAAAGTTTGAGTCTTTTTCTTTTTTAAGAATTCACAAATTCCAAATTTGGTTCTCTTTAATTTGTGATGGTCAATTCAAAGTCATTTTAATAAAAATTTGAGCTAAATAAATAGAAATAAATGAGAATAATAAGTCACAGGAGGACTTATTTAACTTTAGTCATTGTTTTCTAATCATGCATTTTTATTCAAATAATGTTAATTGTTAGTTTCTTTTTACATTTTTGGTCCATGGAAATTAAATTTTGCTTACATATCATATTATTTTTCAGTTATTGAAAAACCTTACTAGGTATACAGACTGTCATAAATTTTTATAAAGTATTTGGCTGTATGTTTCTTTTATGGCAATTTCTGAATATAGATGCTATTTACCTCTCTATTATCTAAAAGGCTGAGTTGTGTTATTATATAGTTAGAATATAAATTCCTCCCATTTTTTTCATTTAGTTTATTGGTACATTTTAGGTATACAATACAGTTACATTCATTATTGGAATCTTGTACCTTTAAATGATGTATGTTTGTTCTTATTTTTTTCCCCATTCCCCTGCCCTCCCTTCACTCCTTCCATCCTTCCCTATCTACAAAGACTCTGTTTCCATGTTTTTCCTTTTCTCATATTTTTTCTTTTCCCTTCTTTCCTTTCACCTACCCCTCCCACTTCCCCTACTCCTTTAGACATTTTCCTCCTATTTCACAATATCAATTATACATTTTGAGGGCTGGGGATTTAGCTCAGTGGTTCCAGCACCTGCCTCACAAGCACAAGGTCCCTAGTTCAACCCCTGAAATCAAGTCATAGATTTCTGGAGACAATTATACATTTTGATTCTTATTTACACTTTTAGTTTCTCACACCAGAGAAACTATTCGATATGTACACATGTGTGTCCTATTTATTTCACTTAAGAGTATAGCCTCAATGTGCATCCACTTAGCTAAAAATGTCTCCATTTTCTCATTCTTTATGGCTGACTAGTACTCCTTTTTATAAAAAAAAACCCACACACATCTACTTTATCTAGTCTCCAGTTGATGGGCGATCGGGCTGTTTCCAAGTCTTTGATATTACAAACTGTGCCACTATGAACATGGATGGGCATAATATCACTGTGCTGATTCTTTTAATTCTTTTGGAAAGATACCCAGTGGAGGAAGAGTTGGGTCAAATGGGACCTGTAGTCCTAGTTCTTTGAGGTATCACCATACTGATTTCCACAGGGGTTGCACCAGTCTGTACTCCCACCAACATGAAGAAGGGTTCCTTTCTCCCCACAACCCCACCAGCATTTGTTATTGGTTAATTTCATGATAGTAGCCATTCTTTCTGGTATGAGGTGGAATTGCAACGTTGTTTTCATCTGCATCTCTCAAATGACAAGTGACGTTGAACATTTTTTCATATGCTTATTTGCTGCTTTTACTTCTTTGCCTGAGAAATGTCTGTTCAATTCATATGCCTATTTTTGAATTGGGTCGTTCTTCCCAGTTTTTTTCATTAAATTTATTGATACAGTTTTAGATATACAATGTGATGACATTTATCATTGGGAATTTGTACCTTTACATGATACATCTTCTTATTTTTTTTGCCTATTTCCTTGCCCTCCCTTCAACCTCTCCACCCCTCCTTATTTACAAAGACTTTGTTTCCATTTGTTCATTTTCTCATTTTTATTCTTTTCCCTTCTTCTCTTTCCCCTAATCCTCCCACTTCACCTTCCATTTTGAAACTTTTCTTCCTATTTCACCTTATCTATTATGCATTTTGATCCTTATTTATGCCCTCAGTTTCTCACACCAGAGAAACTATTCCATATTTACACGTGTGTATTATTTATTTCACTTAAGAGTATGGCCTCAATGTGCATCCATTTAGCTATAAATGACTCTAGTTTCTCATTCTTTATGACTGAGTAGTACTCCATTTTATTAAAAAAACCACATCTTCATCCAATCTTCAGTTGATAGGCAATTGGGCTGTTTCCAAGTTTTAGCTATTACAAATTGTGCTACTATAAACATGGGTGCACATATATTGCTGTGGTATGATGCTTTTACTTCTTTTGGGAAGATACTCAGCAGGGGAATAGCTGGGTCAAATGGGACCTCTAATCCTAGTTTTTTGAGGTATCTCCACACTGGTTTCCACAGTGAATGTCCCAGTATACACTCATACCAACAGTAAAGAAGAGTTCCTTTTTTCCCCTACAACTTCAGCAGCATTTATTATTGGTTGATTTCTTCATAGCAGCCATTCTTTCTGAGATGAGGTGGAATCTCAGTGTTGTTTTCATTTATATTTCTTGAATGACAAGTGATGTTGAATATTTTTATATGTTTATTTGCTGTTTCTTCTTCTTTGTCTAAGAAATGTCTGTTCATTTCAGATGCCCATTATGGATTGGGTCTTTAAATTTGGGAGGTCTAATTTTTTTTGAGGTCTTTATATGTATTGTAGATAGTAGACCTTTATCTGAGGAACAGCTGGTAAAAATTTTTCCCACATTGTGGGTTGTCTCTTAGCTCTGTTGGTGGTTTCTCTTGCTGTTTCTCTGCTCTGCAGAAGCTTTTTAGTAAGAAGAGATCCCACTTGTTGATTCTTTGTGCTAGTTCATGGGCAACTGAGGTTTTGTTCATGAAATCTTTTCCTACACCAATGTCCTCAAGAGTTCTACCTAACCTCTCTTCCACCCAATTTAGTGTTTCTGCTTTGATATTTATATCTTTGATCCATTTTGGTTTTAATTTAGTGCATAGAGAGAGATGTAGGACTAGTTTTAATCTTTGGTGAGTTGAAACCCCATTTTTCTAGCACCATTTATTAAAGAGGCTAACTTTCTTCCAGTGAGGTTATTTGGCTCATTTGTCAAAGATAAGTTAACTGAGTATGTCTGGAGTTGTTTCTGCATCTTCTAATCTATTCCATTGACCCTTGGTTTTGTTTCTTTCCCAGTACCATGCTGTTTTAATCACAGTAGCTTTGTAGTATAGTTTCAAATTGGGGATTGTGATACCTCCTACCTTGTCTTGTTACCTAGAATTGCTTTTGCTATTCTAGATCTCTTCTTGTTCCAAATGAATTTTTGAGTTATTTTCTCAAGTTGTGTCAAGTATGCTATTGGAATTTCA